TCCTTCCTTCCTTCCTTCCTTCCTTCCTTCCTTCCTTCCTTCCTTCCCTCTCTCTCTCTTTCTTTCTTCCTCTCCTGTGTGTGTGGGCTGACATGCATGTGCTATCGTGTACATGCAGAGTTCAGAGGAAAATTTTTGGTTCTGTCCTCCACCATGTAGGTCCCTTGGATCAATCTCAACTTGTCAGGATTGGTGTCAAGTATTTTCATCCACTCAGTCAAGTTACCAGCTCGGTTGTGTGATTTAATATGGATTTTTTTAAATGTGTAATATGAGAAGTCAAAAGATACTTAAAATTTTCTGCTTAAAGCCATTTTTTATTTTTAATAAAAAATACAGATACATTGTTACAAAACAATGAGAACTTCCAGGCCATGACAAAGAGCAATACATTTTCAAACTTAAAAACGCATTAGGTTTTCATCTATATAAGCTTTACCACTGTGACCTGGTTTCCTCTGGATTTTAATAATGCCTCCAAATATCCATTCTTTGGGGTTATTTTTCTAAACTTTTGTTTCAGACAAAGTCTCATGTAGGAAGGCCAGGCATGTGGTTGAGGATGAGTTTGAACTTTTTTTCTTGCTTCCATCTCTCACGTGCTGTGGTTATAGTGTGTGCCACCAGGCCTGGCCCCAAATTTCCATTCCTTCAGTTGGGTTTTAGGAGCTAACGTCAAAAGGCTTTGGGAAACCCAAGTCTACCTTTGCACATTGAATAAGGGTTGTTTAATCTAACACTCATGTATTGCTAATCTGACACTGATGAAAAAGCTACTAGGATGTTTGCTTCAGCCTCTGTAGCTTTAGGCTGTATTTACCTTTAGGAAACTGGAAAACAATTTTAAGCTTTTATTATAAAAACAACCATCTGCTGTATGTGTCGGCTCATGCCTATAATCTCGGCACTCAGGAGGCTATCAGGAGAACTACAAGTTGAAGGCTAGCATAGTCAGACATAGCAGGTTCCAGGACAGCCTCAGCGGCAGCAAGACACTGTCTCAAAAAAAAAAAAAAAAAAAAAAAACAAAAACAAACCCAAACCACCAACCAACTAATAAACAACAAGTCAATATCAAAAACATAAACAAAAACCCGCAAAGGAAAATTAAAAGAACTACTTTTCATACAGCTAGAAATAATTGAGCTAACAATGGCCTTGGGGAGATTTGGGCTGAGACAATGTGGAGAAGCTGGTGAGGTAGGGTGTTCTTTGTGGGCTGAAGGGCGGGGGTCAAGAATAACCAGAAATGACTAGAAGAACTGCATTACTTTTAAGGTGACTCTCAGGAAATCTGGTCTAAATAAGTGGTTTTCAGCCTGTGGGTTGTGACCCCTTTAGGGGTGGGGTGGTAGAATCCAGTGACCCTTTCACAGGGGTTGCATATCAGACATTTACATCATAGTTCATAACAGGAGCAAAAGTAGGACTGTGAAGTAACAAGAAAAACAGTTTTATGGTTGGGGTCACCACAGCATGAGGGAGCGTATTAAAAGGGTGGTAAGTCACATGACTTCCCTCATGCACAGCATTAAACTGCTGTAGCTGTCCAGTTCCCCTTTTCGCTTGAAGATTATTTCACTGTTTTCCTAAAATGATACACGTCCACACATTCCACTACACGTTGTTATTTTAGTTTGCAGCCCTTTCCGGTTGGAAGGGAAGCCTTGCTTTCCACACCCACAAACCCTGCTAGGCGTTGTCGACAAACCTCACTGCACATCTCACGTGGGTCATTTCTACTCCCTGGCACTTATGAAATAAAGAGTGACACAGGATTAGTTTCTGAGGAGCGTCTACGAGGGAGTTCACTGTATTTTTCTTGGGCTGGATCAAAATATATACAAAATATTACGTACATTATACTAACCTTTCTCACATGTGCTGTGATATCTGTATTTCAGAACTGTCTTATTATGAATATACACAGAGTAGATACAGCAAGTTATACGTGTTCAATCACAGCCCTGGGCTTGAGTAAAAGATAGCTTTGAGTTCCCTCTCTAGGAAGATAAGAACATCTGATACTTTTGTTCCAAGCTGCTGAAAAAGCTTCATCAAGCACCTCAAAATTCCCATTGTTATTAATAATACTCTCATATCCTTATTAATGACTAGGTAACGGAGATAGAAACTTGAACTCCAAGAAAGAAGCCAACCTACTAACCCTCACTGCATTTTAAGGTGACAGCATCTGCCTTTGGTGCAGATAACACAGAAATGTAAAGATGCTTAGGAAATCTCCCTGTCTAATATCTTAGATCATTTTTGAAAATATACAGGTTTACTCTTGCTTGAAAAAAGAGTCAGAGTTAGAAATGACAATATATCCAGCTTTGGTATATAAATCAGAATACTTGAATTATAATCATGATTAGAGATTATTCACTAAGACCCAAATTAGTCCAACACCACAAGCTTTGCTAGATCTAAAAAAAGAAATTTACATACAAACATCCAAATTGGCCTGGTGTGTTTTTGCGGTTTGCTTTGGTCATAGATGGGAACAGGTTTCTTTCGTATAGAGCATACTGTATGAGCCTCGAAGCTCTGTGGGAGCCACGATGCTGCCAGAGGCACCAGGAAGGGGGCAAATGACCCTTTCTGTTACAGTGACATTCTGGGTGAGATGGGGGTCAAAGGTGGCAGTGGTGGGCTGCACAAAGGAACCCGAAGTTGAATAAGTTTCTGTAAGCAAGTAGTTACCCAGCTGTAGAGGGTCAGGGATGGCAATGGCAGGGTGGACAGACCCAGAAGTGGACAAAACAGAAGTATCTTGATTGCCAGGCAAGGTGTGGCACACTTTAGAACCTGACTGGGTAACTTCCAGATTGCCAGGCAAAGTCTGGTACCTGGTAGAACCTGACTGGGTAACTTCCAGACTGCCAGGCAAAGTCTGGTACCTATTAGAACCTGACTGGGTAACTTCCAGACTGCCTGGCAAAGTCTGGTACCTGGTAGAACCTGACTGGGTAACTTCCAGACTGCCTGGCAAAGTCTGGAACCTGGTAGGACCTGCCTGAGGGACTTCCATGGAGCGAGAGCTGGCATCAGCCCTAGAACCACTGTCTTTAGGGCCCGGCTTTGCTTGCTTGGCTTCATCATCAATGCCGAGACATATCTCTGCAAGCTTTTTAAATTTGGGGCCAAGGGACTCCAAGAAGTTGTCATCTAGGTCGTCGGCAATAATGCTGCAGGAGCTGAGTGCAGGCGAGCAGGGGGCAGCATCCTCGCCTTCGTCGTCATAGATCAGTAGGCAGTCATTCACCTCCCGCTCACTCTCTTCCTCGGCATAGGCGAATGATTTCTAAAGATGAGAAGGAGGAGAAATGGACCGTAAAAACACTGTCGGACCCTATTCATGAAAGCCAAGGGTGGGATATGAACTCCCACATTAGGTACTCTTCACGAGTGATGAAAGCGTTCTCCATTTTATTTGTTTGGTTATCTTTTTCCTCTGGATAGCTGAAATGTTTTAGTTGATTTATTTTTATTATTAGATGTTTTTAGTGTTCAATATAATGGGTTTATGACATTTTCATGTACATATATCCTTGATCTTTGACTATATTTAGACCTGCCTTACCCTTTCTTGCTCCTCCATCTTCCCTTTTCTTTTCCCCAAATAGTCTAGCCTCGGCTTTTATGTCCTATTTATAAATATATAATTAAATATGGATTTTTGCAAATGATAGAAAATTTGAGGTAGTTGTGTTTTCCATTACAGCTCCATGTTCTCCTCCTCTCTCTTATCTTCACCTTCCTTCCTTCTTCCAAGTAGTCGCCTCCTACTTTCATGTCATAGATAAACTTAAATCTAGATTCTACATATTAGAGAAAGCATGATACATACCTGTCTTTCTGAGTCTGGCTTCAGGAAATAGTCCTTAATGAACGCTCTTGTTTGGGGATTTGCCAATATGGCTGAGATCAAAAGGTCTAGCCTAGCCTCTATGTTTTTAGTTCTTGATTTTATCTAGATTTTAGTCTCCGTAGCAACTGTATACGATGCCTGGAGTTTGTCACTGGCTGTTTGGTCTTTGTGCTGGGGTAGTGGCAGCTTTACCATCATGTGCTCAGATCATTTTTACCCCACGGGAACTTTACTAAGTTTACTAAGTCCTTGTTGGCTTGTCTTGTGAGTTTCAGCCAGTGACTCAGTTTTGACGGCCACTGAAATTGCCTCATTTACTCTGACAAGAGGAAGCTTTCCTTTTCCCTATATTTCAAAAAACATAGAAAAATGAATCTCAAAACTAATGTATATAATCAAGTAACCAGATTTCCTATAATAACGAAGCCCGACAGTTTCCTACCCAGTTACCTGAGAAAAGTAGGACCCTAGGAAAGTCATGTTCACTGGTCCAGCAACGTAGTCCTTCAGCGTCCCTCCAGTGGAATGCCTTGTTCTCATCGTTCCCGAGTGACCCAAGTGGCCAAGTGCCACTGCAGCGTTTGATCCAGTAGCTGCTCCCACCTTGGTGGTCATTTCCATCCCCGAAGCACCTTCTACCACCGTCCCTCCAGCATATGTGTTTGTACAGACTTCTAAAGAAAGGAGAGAGAGAGAGATAGCGTCTCTACTATTTCCTGTTACGACTTTTTTAAAGCTCCTGTGTGTGCATATCTGTGTGCTCATATATGACATATGCGTGTGCACATGTGGAAGTAAGAAGTCAGATTTGGGTGCTGTTCCTTAGGGCACTCTCCATCTTCTTAGAGTCAAGGTCTCCCACTGGCTGGAACTTGTTAAACTCTCTGACATGTGAGTCCCAGGGCTCTGCCTCTCTCCATTTCCCGAGAGCTGTGATTATGACCTTGTGCCATCATGCTTTGCTTTGTCGTGAACTCAGGGCCTCATGCTTGCCCTGTAAGTGCTTGACTGACTGAGCTAGTTTTCCAGTCCCTAAAATCCTTTTATTCTTGATGCTCACAAACAGTTAACATGTAAAGCAGAACGGTGAGGGAAAGTACAATGATACGACTGGGGTAAGAACATTCTGTTGGGCCTCTGAGAGAGTCACAGAGGGGGCACGTGGGCAGGTGAAAAGCCTTGAAAACATGTCAACGAAAAAAATAGGTTTTCAGTGGCAATAGCCAGAAACAAAAACTATGAAGGCACATGGGTCAGTGAACAGCCAGGGAAAGCTTCTGAACGCCTGTGTTCTCAGTCAAACTGTCACAGGATTTCAGTGTGGACAATGAAGAGGGGGGCCTCTATGATGTCAAGACACATGGTGTCCAAGGAAAAATTAAAGAATTTATGACCGTTTTTTCCCTGTTTTTTTTTTTTTATGCTTTCCTAGATTATTTACATTGATTTTTACTTTTTACCTATGTGTATATGGGTGTGTCTATGTGTGAATGTGATCATAGGTATATGGATCTCCACAGGAGTCAGAACAGGATGTAAGACCCCCTGGAACTGGAGTTTACAAGTGTTAACTACCCAGCCGGTGCCAGGAATTGAACTCCAGTCCTTTGGAGGATGAGCAAGCACCCTTAACCACTGACCCAACTCTCCAGCTCTCAGGCATTATTTTTTTTACAGACAATGCTGAGTTTAGTTTTTGCTAGATACTGGCAGAAGCGAGTGAGTATTAGAAAAACTGCTAAAGGCTGTCATGTAACTGGAGATAACTTGTGCAGATTCATGCTAACTATAGAATTGAGAATTAAATTCCTGTGAGTGCCAGGTCTTATTGCTCACTAGTTTATAGTGTGCTTCCGGCAGTGAGACAACCTGATTAAAGTTTTTGCTTGGTAAACAAGAAAATATAACAAATTCTCCTAGATGCCAGCTTCACGCCTTCATGCCACCTAGTGACTGTGTGGAACTACTAACTGTACTCAAGTCAGGATATAGTTCATGCTGTTATACTAGGAAGAGGGACGCGCTCGCACACACACACACACGGTGGGGATGCACACACGTCAAGCACAGATGTGCTCACTTGAGACTTGACGGCAAACATGACCCGACCTGACGTGGCAATAGACAGAGTTAGTGGTGGGTACAGCGACTGCTTACATTTTCATTTACACTTTTCTAATGCTGTCAGATATTTCCTAACTAAAACCTCTTAATTAAGGGCTGGAGAGATGGCTCAGAAGTTAAGGGCACTGGCTGCTCTTCCAGAGGACTCAGGTTCAGTTCCCAGCACCCACACAGCAGTTCACAGCTGTCTGTAGCCCCAGTTCCAGTTCCAGGGGATCCTAGGCCCTCTTCTGGCCTCTATGGGCAGCAGGCAAGCACATGGTGCCCAGACATACATGAAGGCAAAACCGTATAAACAAAATAAAATAATAAATTCAGAATGTTTAAAGCGCTGGGTGTGGAGACACACCCCTATAATCCCAGCACTCAGGGAGGCAGAGGCAGGCTGATCTCTATGAGTTCGAGGCCAGCCTGGTCTACAAAGTGAGTCCACGACAACCAAGGCTACACAGAGAAACCCTGTCTCAAAAAGAAAGAAAGAAAGAAAGAAAGAAAGAAAGAAAGAAAGAAAGAAA